ATAAGACAGACACTATGCCACACCAAGAATATCTATTGTAACAAATGGAATCAAACTAAATGAAATTAAAATAGATGAAAAGTGTCTTATTTTAGGTCATTCTGTCCATCACAGGCATAGTTTACATTGTATTACGAGACTGTGAGAAACTGAAATTATAATCTGTTCAATATTGATAAAAAGGTATTGGTTTGCTTTCAAAACAATTTTAATATTTTTTTCTGGTGGAAATTCACTGATTGAAATGGTTCTGGGTTTTGTTCCTTATGCAACTTGAATGACCATTTCCACCAACAATCTTGGGACAATATGTAGCTGGAGGTTGTGGCTGAATTGGGTATAAAGTCTGTATAAATTGATTGAACACAACAAACCAAGACAAAGTTCTTCTATGGCAAATTTTATATCAAAAGCTTCCTTTATGTATAAATAACCATGACACAAATGGCCCTCATTACAGATATTAAACTGAAATTTGTTGCATAGTCTTTTCATACCATGGGAATCAAGTTCATGAAATGAGGAAAGATTTACACATTGTAAGGGGAAATTTCAGTTTTCAATTTGTTGATTTCATATGGAATTACCCAAAAGCAAAACAAAGTGGTAAATGAAAAACCGAGCCAAAAATCATATTTCATATGATAAAGTAAGTGGAGAATAGATAAGTGTAAGACAACTGGGGATACACAGCAAGAAAGTATTCTATGAATTTCACAGTGTAAGCTAGGGCCATGGGGACCTAGGGGGCAAACCCTCTTGGCTAGGGGCACAGGTTTATAGCTAGGGGGGTCCAGACTATGGACATGGGTTCATAGCGAAGGGGGTGGCTAGGGGCATGCTGGGGGCTTTTGGTGGTGTTTTGCCTACACATTTTTGTTCTGTATTCATTCTTTCTCAGCCTATTTTGCCCCATAATTTCCCCGATCTACTTCATGCCTCCCCTGCTATTGGGACTATCAAACCAATACTGTAGATAGAAGTGGTCATCAGATCTCAATGATTCATTTGCACAAGGAACAATGCCCATAATCATTGAAATCTTTCTTTCTGTCTTTCTTTTTTTATGGGCTACTATGCCATTATACATATTGACCAAAATAGAATCTATACAGAACAAGGTGCAAAAAAATGCTTAAAATTGGTCAGTGAAACTCCATGGATGTGGCTGCCATCATTGAAAGTTTACAAGCCAGTCTGCCAGTCTTCATAAAATTTTATGTATGAGAATGCTTGTGTGATTCTCGGAACCAGATTCTCGGATGACTCCATGTTTGTTTACTTACGCACTATGTTTCCGCCTTGGTTATGTGATACAGCCAGTCCACTTCCATATGGAAAGTTTATACAGAAACAAAAATTGATGGAAAAAATGCCAGTGTGATAGGGCCTTAACTGGATTATAATTGTATTTATTGCTCAATAGTCATGTGATGCATTTCATATATAATGGGTTTTACTACCCATCTCCACTACCTCCAACTACATATTGTCAGAATAATAGGTAAGGTAAGCACAATTTTGAAATTGTAAAAGTCAGGTCTAGAGCCAAACATATGAACAATTGGTTTGGGTGCATGATGTGGAGAAGGTTGACTTAGGTATATCCTTGCTACCTGGTGTTTGGGCTCAGCTCATGGCAAGAATAGATGCTAATGAATCAATACAGAGTCAACTGCCAATTATTATTATTATTATTATTATTTTTTTTTTTTATGACGTGACTGTAGAGGTTATAAGAGGAGGGATATATTTGCTATTACCAAATGAAGTAGGAGAAGAAAAAAAAAAAAAGACGGACAAAACTAATCACTATTATAAAATGTTAAAGTTAAATTTTGTCCAAACAATTTACAAATGTAAAATTAAAAATCATTATTTTTAGGGTATATTATAAACATAGCCATTTTAGATTTGTTGTTCGAAAAGTTAGCCAAACCAGAAATGTAAAGTTAGTACTTCAAATAATGGAACAGTGTGGATATACAGTAAAATATATAACAATCACTCCAACATGATGTTAAAACATTATACGTTAAAGAATGGGAATTCAAGTCCTGTATTGGAAGAGTTATTAGTATCACTGATTTTATTATTTTAGAACTGCAAAACAGCTTTTTATGGTGTTTGATATTATTTTCCCCTTCCATGTCATGTTACACTGATATTGTCTTACAGTTCGATCCAGCTGTGCAGCGCTTCATGTCAATGAGAGCCACTCGTTATGACCACTTCAAGCCTTCTCCTCGTTCATCTTTGATTGGAGTTGCCATGCTTGCTATCCCTATCTTGGGATATGGTTGGTGGATGAAAACTAGTCGAGTAAGTACTGTTATGGACGAACCTGATTTTTTGTTCATTTCATTAATATCCTTACAGATCAGTCTTCTGAATTGAAAAGGACTGTAATTATGATTAACTCTTATTTTCTCGACAGGAAAACTTTGAAGCAAAGTGTCGCACTGGCCAAGTGGCATATGCAGATCGTGAGTTTAAGTTCGCCTAAAATTATTATGACAAGAAAACTCATCTTTGATAATGGTGTATAGATTGTATATGAGTATTATGAATAAATAATTTTAAAGGTTTGACTTTTATTAATATCCATTCAAATATATAATTAAGTATTCAAAAGTAATTTCAGGAAAGAAAATCAACTATATGGGAATGTCAATTCAAAATTACCTCTGTGAGTGTGAGTGTGTGTGTGTGTGTGTGTGTGTCTGTGTCTGTGTCTGTGTGTGTGTCTCATATTTATTTTGCTTTACTTTGCTTTACAGGATCAAATATAGTATGTAATTTATGGTTTGAAAATTATTGCAATTAAAGTAGTTTTTGAAAGTGTTCATATTTGCTTCACCTGGCCCTCCACAAAAAAAAAAAATAAGGTGATCACTTCAAGAGTTTATTATATTTCATTCAATTTTATTCAGTATCCTACAACTCCTGACAGCAAGAGTTAGATGCTAGCACTTTGCTTTTATAACACATTTTGAGATTTTTCTAGTTTGTCTGTGTGCAGACACAGTCACCCCTGCCTTGTTTTTATTAGCAGGAAACCCTGACTCCTATGCCTGTTGTTATTGTGGAGGGGTATTGGAGAACTTTACCCTAAACCTCAGCCTTCAGCTCAACCAATTTTGCATGGTCTTTTCATCTCCACCTTTCGTTTTTGTTCTCTTCTCCAATCCCTTCTGTCCACTTTTTAAGGTGTAAGAGATGAAAGGATGAAAAGCTGGCTTTGTGTCACTATAATTATCCCTTCTATTCCCTCCTTGATACTCATGTGACTCCCTTCTGTCACAACCTTGTCCCTATAGGGATTCTTCCCCTCCTGACATTATTCCTGATATTTCAGCTCCTTCCTTTAGACCCCTGTCTCCATTATTTGCATCATTATGACTAATTTTGCATTGTTTTTCTTCCTTGGATGCATAGATACCCTCCATTTGATGTAATCGCTCTTTGCCCTTAATCTTCACTGTTTTACTAATCCCTGCCCTACTTCATTTGCTCCCCCTCTTCACCCTTTTCACTCCCATAATATCCTATAGTGCTCTATGACCTTTGTCATCTTATAGATTTTATTCTAATCAAGTAATTTTTACCCTTTTTGCCACAGTACTTTACCACAGTGCTACATGACTGGTGATGATTAGCACATTTGTTTTAACCATTAACCAACCATCAGTAGGAATGTTCACCAAAGTCCCTATCACACTAGCATTTTTTCTTTCTATTTTAGTATTTCCATATGAAATTCCTGCATGTAAATAGTCTTACACTATCATGTTGGAAGAGTACCACTGCCACCAGGGTAATATAGCGCACATGTATAACAAATGTGGCACCACCGGAGTGAGGTCCTGAAAGTCATACAAGCTCTCTCAACTTATGATATTTTAAAGAAAGACTGCTATATTGTACATAGAAATATTCTAGAATATGATATTCTGTTCACATGAACCTTTTATTTCATTATCAGTAACAACATTGTAGCACAAGAACAAATTAGTTGGATAAAAATGGGTCTTCACCAGGGAGGCATTCAGCATGCATGTGATACAAGTGGAAAGCCCCAAATAAATACATAAACACAAAATTCGATGGAAAAGTAGAAGAGTAATATCCCCCAATCCTTTGCTTGTTGTCAAGGGGGGACTTAGATGGGGACTGAAGCCCAATGTAGGGATCACCCTTCCTTGGTCCTCAGCCCTCGCCTCAACTAATTTTGCATGGTCTTTTCTTCTTTCCATTTCCTTTTCTTCGTCCCCTTGTTCTTTCCACTCACAGTAATCGTTAATTCACTTTTGCTGTTTTCGCCTTATACCCCATCAGCTCCCCCTCTCTACCCTTTTAACTACCATACTACCCTCTAGTACTGTTCAACTTTTACCCTAATCATTAACTCATTCCTAACCCTTTTCATTACTATACTTTACCATAGTGCCATATGACCTTTGATGTCACCTAGCCAGGACTTCATTACCTAGGGGCTTTGTCCCCAAGCCTCACGCTATCACTATATTTTGAATATGCCACTAATGTCCTTAAATGTTGATCTGGCAGAAAATTTTCAATAAATAAATAAACAGTAGTGTAATAGGGCTTTAACTCCACTCAAGTTGTAATTTTGAACAAAGCATTAAAGATTATTTTTACCAAAGGCATTCTATGATATGATCAGATTGTTGACTTTGTAGTTAAATTATTTTAACAGCATGGCTAAATCAAGTTGTCATGATTTGAAAAGTTTTGCATAAACATATACAAAGATTTTGACATAAAAATGATTTGTAGTTAAACTTGATTAATATTAGCAGTGCGGACTATTTTATTGATAGTAATATGGACCTGACTGTAGTGTGTTTTACAGTAAACATAGTATTGCTTTTCCTGTGTGACAAATTTTTTACCCTCTTTTCATATATATGCAATAAAACTGCATGTACTGTATGTAAGTACCCACAGGAAGTGGCCAGATATTTTTTGTATTTATGCATGAAGCATATAGGCAGACCACAAAATGGTACCATGAGGAAGTCCATAGTATGTGTGACCTCACCTGATTCCTCCCATCCTTGAGTTCTCACAAAAAATGTTAGATAAGTAAATGTATAGTATTGCTAAGGTAGGTATTTTTATCATAATGTCACTATGATTATAGTCAGTCAGCAAAATAATATAATACACTTGTATTGGATAGAGAAAAAATCAACTTTATAAAATATTTATTTTCAACTATGATTGTTTTAAATAGGTATATAATATTTACATTATTTATTTAGAGCTTTTGATTTCTGAAGAAGTGACTGATAATAGCTCTCAAATTGTTTTGGAGTCTTGTAAAGAACAGTAACAGATGATGGGAAGTAACCAATTTCTTTCAGCTTCTTTATTCTCTCTGCAGTTCTTTTCTCCGCATACAATAAGATACGCATGGAGGCCCTGTAATAAAAAATGTAAATTATTTCCAGTAAATTCTTTATGCATTAATGTTCACTGTCTTAAATGCGTGTTAAATCAACTTTCAGGTAATCCAATGCTGTCATTCAGGAAGATCTTGATGCTTTTGCAACTTGAGGCTCATCCTTATGATCATTTTTCTGTCATGGCAATAGTTTAAGGAAATATAGGATGACAGTCAGATAGTATACCATTCAAACAATACTAAAATCATTTGTTAATTATTACAATAATAAGGAAAAGGTTGAAGGGGGTATCATCTGCAATAGGCCCAGTGATACTACACATAATACCCCTTGGGTTATGCCTTACCTGATCTGTTTGGGTGTAAAACCCTCAGAGAAGAGAAGGTCAATCTGGCTCTTCAATTTTGACACATGCGCGCGCATCAATCCTGGGTTGCCACGTGCATAATTTACAATGAACTCTGGTTCACATTCCAGACGCTCTGCAAGATATTCCATTACACTCTTCTCTCCTAGCAGTTCTTTTTGGGACTGGTATCTTTCACATGTCCTGAGAGAAGAGAAAAAAATAAACTATTAATTATGCATATAATCTTTAAAGGATCTGAATATCAGAAACTACCTTAAATGTAAGAATGATAATCATTCAATATGGAATTCTTTGGAAACTTTTGAACTGTTTTAACACACAAATATGTAAGATATCTTATTTATTGCAATTATCAAAAACTTTCCTGTCATTTTCTTTACTATATATACCTTTCAAATATATAATCTGGGCAGCGGCACATCCATAGCTTAGGCCTTTCACACCCTGCTTCAGTAGCACGAAGTAGCCGTTCCTCTGTCATAGCTGGATTGTGATAATACACCCAGAGGTCTCGTAAGATGTCCTCTGATTGTACTTCATACCCTGTAACCAAACCAAATAAAATAATTCAAGATCTTGCTCTCATCTCTTTTTTCTTTACCTGTTTCTTTTTTCCCTCAAGTACATATGCATATATCTTACACATGTAGTATAGAAAATATTCACACTGGGAAATGCATGTAAACTCAAAATCAAAGGCCATACACAAACACAGATGCCACAAGCTCAAGTACAATCATCTAAAATATAGGCCAATACTTGTTTTAAACATATAAAAGTAAATACACAGTGTAAGTACTAGCTGAACTTTTTTTATGAAACCTTTTCTTTTTCAATATTAATTTTATGTTCAAAAGGAAATGAACAATTATACTCACTCTCTAAAATGCCTAGTTATATGTTCCACTCTTCCAAGTCCATAAAAAGAATGCGCTTTGGTTTGACAATTCTCTCTGTCAACTGTCAAAACTGGAACCTGATTCATCATGTATAGTATTGCTAAGGTAGGTATTTTTATCATAATGTCACTATGATTATAGTCAGTCAGCAAAATAATATAATACACTTGTATTGGATAGAGAAAAAATCAACTTTATAAAATATTTATTTTCAACTATGATTGTTTTAAATAGGTATATAATATTTACATTATTTATTTAGAGCTTTTGATTTCTGAAGAAGTGACTGATAATAGCTCTCAAATTGTTTTGGAGTCTTGTAAAGAACAGTAACAGATGATGGGAAGTAACCAATTTCTTTCAGCTTCTTTATTCTCTCTGCAGTTCTTTTCTCCGCATACAATAAGATACGCATGGAGGCCCTGTAATAAAAAATGTAAATTATTTCCAGTAAATTTTTTATGCATTAATGTTCACTGTCTTAAATGCGTGTTAAATCAACTTTCAGGTAATCCAATGCTGTCATTCAGGAAGATCTTGATGCTTTTGCAACTTGAGGCTCATCCTTATGATCATTTTTCTGTCATGGCAATAGTTTAAGGAAATATAGGATGACAGTCAGATAGTATACCATTCAAACAATACTAAAATCATTTGTTAATTATTACAATAATAAGGAAAAGGTTGAAGGGGGTATCATCTGCAATAGGCCCAGTGATACTACACATAATACCCCTTGGGTTATGCCTTACCTGATCTGTTTGGGTGTAAACCCCTCAGAGAAGAGAAGGTCAATCTGGCTCTTCAATTTTGACACATGCGCGCGCATCAACCCTGGGTTGCCACGTGCATAATTTACAATGAACTCTGGTTCACATTCCAGACGCTCTGCAAGATATTCAATTACACTCTTCTCTCCTAGCAGTTCTTTTTGGGACTGGTATCTTTCACATGTCCTGAGAAAAGAGAAAAAAATAAACTATTAATTATGCATATAATCTTTAAAGGATCTGAATATCAGAAACTACCTTAAATGTAAGAATGATAATCATTCAATATGGAATTCTTTGGAAACTTTTGAACTGTTTTAACACACAAATATGTAAGATATCTTATTTATTGCAATTATCAAAAACTTTCCTGTCATTTTCTTTACTATATATACCTTTCAAATATATAATCTGGGCAGCGGCACATCCATAGCTTAGGCCTTTCACACCCTGCTTCAGTAGCACGAAGTAGCCGTTCCTCTGTCATAGCTGGATTGTGATAATACACCCAGAGGTCTCGTAAGATGTCCTCTGATTGTACTTCATACCCTGTAACCAAACCAAATAAAATAATTCAAGATCTTGCTCTCATCTCTTTTTTCTTTACCTGTTTCTTTTTTCCCTCAAGTACATATGCATATATCTTACACATGTAGTATAGAAAATATTCACACTGGGAAATGCATGTAAACTCAAAATCAAAGGCCATACACAAACACAGATGCCACAAGCTCAAGTACAATCATCTAAAATATAGGCCAATACTTGTTTTAAACATATAAAAGTAAATACACAGTGTAAGTACTAGCTGAACTTTTTTTTATGAAACCTTTCTTTTTCAATATTAATTTTATGTTCAAAAGGAAATGAACAATTATACTCACTCTCTAAAATGCTAGTTATATGTTCCACTCTTTCCAAGTCCATAAAAAGAATGCGCTTTGGTTTGACAATTCTCTCTGTCAACTGGTCAACTGGAACCTGAAATTCATCTTTCATTAAAGTATGTAGACAATGGTGTCCATATTAAACTATACCAAAATCATGGAGCAAAACAGGTACAAACATTAATAAATGATTACTTGCACATGTTCCACAAAAAAAAAAAAGTACAAGCACTTCTTAGGAAATTATAATAAAGGACTTGAAAGAAACAAAACTTAAAAGATTTATCACCATTCTCTATCACCTTAGCTAAAAATGCAAACTACACAGGACTCAAACTGAAAAAGAAAGCCTTCCACTCAATTCTCACAAGCTTTTTAAAGGCAGTGACTTTTTCCGAAGACAAAAATGACTTTATAGTATTTTCAGAACTTTTGTGGATTGTTACTTCATGTGAATGATAAGATTCCACACTGCATAAGTCCCCCTAAAATGCTATTGATCAGATACTAAATCCCAAATCAGAAAAAAATGAGATAAAGGTGATGTAAGAAACATTAACTGAAATGTGTTGAAACAGAGAGAGAGAGAGGGGGTGGGGGAGGTGGAAAGGCTTGCAAGTCTTACTTTGGGAGGATTGAATTGCTGAGAGTAAGGCACTCCTATCACTGAAGACAAAATTTGTCATTCTGAACACTATTACTTTAAATGTTTCTCATGGTCCAATTACTGCAAATACCTGCCTTCAGTAAGAATACTGTAATACAATATAGATTCTCATTCCCATACCATGCTTTTCCTTAATCACAGAACTCCTGTTTACCTTCCTGTTTTTGAAGACATTAAAGGAAGTAATTAGAAAGAGGATGGATTATTTAAGAATGTTCCAAATCAATTCTTACAGAATTTCTGCCAGACACTTATTTTTCTTAAAGTAGTACAGCTAATGAAATTCATTCAATTAAGTGCTCTCAAAGTGATGGCATAAATGTTTCTTCATCATATCTAACAATATGTGCACCTTCTGATTTTTCTTCAACTTAAGTTTTTTTCCCCCTCATGAAGTACACATTTGGATTCTTTTTCTTCCAAAATTTATATTGCACTGGATTTTAGAGTAAATGGCAGCAAGCCTTGTCTAATTATTGCAAATTAATTTTCTAAAGCATTAGCTTCCTTTTTAACAACTTTATGAGCAAAAACATGTGATTAAAATTACCTGTCAAGCAATCTGATTTAGCAGTAAGACCACCATTTCCTTTCATATCCATAAAAACTATTTGAAAAAATATTAAGAAAGATCTACTAATTGACTCCTTTGTGGCTAAGCACTAGCAGAGCCATCCATGTGCAGAGACATTTCACAAAAAAAAATAGAAAATGAGCACATTTCCCCCATTTTTTATTCATTTTTCCCAGAAGCATTGGGTTAAGAAAGTTTTTATGATGATTATGATGATGACTGAAGCAGCCACAGTTCTTAATGTAAATGTAATTTGAATTATACTGGTCACAGAGCTGAAATTACCAACAATATAATAAAATGAGAATTAGGCAGAATTTGTGAGAACACTTCCTGGACTGGCTGTGTACTAAATAATGCCACTACATAATAGAACTCATAATTCATTCAAATAGCTATTC